TATAATACATTTTAGAGCTATTTAATCATGATGATTTTTTGTTCTGTTTAAATATATTTTTCAATTTATTACATATAATAGATTTTAGAAACATTTCAGTTAAAATATTTCATATGATATATTGCAGAATCCTTTAATTATTACGACATATGAAAGATTGAAACATAATCTGAAAATTTTCCGCAATAATCAGTGCTATATGGATATTTACAGTTACTATTATATTTTTTATTAATTTTAGAAAAATTTTTGAGTATGTTCCGTTTATCTTTTCCTACATTGGCTGTATTCAATATATTTAAAATCCAGTGAGAAACTAAAGCATAAAGTCTATTACAGAATTTTACGACAATTGCTTTTTCTGTTGAGCCAGTGTTAATTTTCTCAACTAACGATTTTTATGCTATCCAATCACTTTTAAATTTTTCATTTTTTATACACAATCAATACATCTGTCATCTTGACAAAGACTACTTTAAAACAGGTTTCAAGTAACATTTATGGATTCCGCTTAGTATATTGCTTCAAAGAGAATCTAAAAAATGATTCTTTTTAAATCTCTAAATTATGAAAAAGATTCTTTCTTTGTTCAATTTCTGATATCAAAATCATTTTTATTATAAGGATAGTAACCAGTTATTATATTTATGATTGCCTTAAGTATAATCTATGATTGGATATGACATCTTAAAATTTGAGACTTAGTATAACTAATTCGATTTCTAAATGTCATAAGACAATCATAGAACTTTAGAACAAAAATTTATAAAATATTTTATTGGTTTAAAAAAATGTTTTTTATTAAATTGCTGTATTCAAGATGTCGGCGTATTCGAATGATAGTGTGCACATAACGTGGTGGGGCTCCGCCACGATGTCGGAAAAGTTGTCGGGGAGGACGTTTCGCTTTCCAAATCCGCTAACTTCTCCCTATATAGACCAGTCTTGTTCCGATCGTCGAATCTCGCTGATCAATATTAATTTCCTTTATATAAGTCAAGTGAGAAACATTTTCTAATAAAACTCTAAAACGTTATGCTAACATTTGCACAGACGAAGTTAATAAACAACAAAATTATTTATATTTAACGATTCTTTAATACGATTCATTGAGATAAATGTGTCTTAATAAAGAAAATAAGAAAATAATCTAGATCTGTGCATTAATGAAATTCCTTACATTAGCAAAATAATTCTTTATATTTCATTCTACGTTTTTCTAAAATTGATCACTTTATGATCTGTAGCGATATAGATCACAGTTTGCATTAACGAGGAAGTAAAAGTGATTGTAATTTTTCGGTTCAAAAACATGCATTATGTCGCATCAGCGATTTACGTTTATTTCATACATTTTACTACGTTATTCTACGTTTATGCACAATTTCACAATTCTAATGAGAATAATATTATTCATTTATTACCCGCCTACGCCATCGCCTCGAGAGCTAGTCTTCTCGGTTCGGTAACATGTGCAACAGAGTTACGAGATTTCCGAGACGCTGTCGATCAACGGATACTGTGGGGTTTAAAGAGTAAGTAAATTCATTCTTAATCATGATTGGTTTTTGATACTTATCGAATACTTATCGATAAAATAAATGCAAAGCCAAAAATGTTAATCGCATTGATAATCTCGCATTTATTTCATGTTGAGTTATTTCATTGTGTTGTCAAAGAGTTACTTCGAAATTAAATTGATTTTGTAGTTATTTCATCTTTGTTTATAAAAAAATGAGAGAATTGTCAGTAGAATCCTCGTACAGCACGGAACTTGCAGCAATAACTGTAATAAATACTACAATTGATGGAACATTCAATATTACTGCAATGTTACAATAGTATTGTTGCAACTTTTGTGCTGGAATAGGAATCATATTTAATTTTGTCTGGCATTAATAAAGATATAACTATAAATCAAGGTATCTATAAGCAACAATATTTCAATGTCATGTGTTTCAGATATATCTATTATATTTATCTCGTAGAGTTAAAAATTGTTATATTTGTAGGATCTGTTATGTTTCGTAGTCGAAACTTTCGATTTATATTCGAGAGAATTTTTTCAATAAATATTTATATATATCAAGGTTAGATTAAAAAATAGTGCGTTCATATATTAAAAAAGGAATAATCAAGGCTTAAGCAAAAATTGTTCAATTAATATCTTTATTATTTAATACATAAGATAGGACGTTTCAGTTTCCTAATTACAGATAAAAAATTTGTCCGCATGAATATATATAAATATATATAACATATTATATTCAACATGTATAAATATTCATAAACATACATAATTTTATATGAAATATGTCCAC